GGATACAGCTGTCTTTTCCATCATTAGACCAGTAGTCCTGTGGACAGTTCATGCACTCAGCTGCACCTGAAAACAAGGAAGTAATGTGAATATAACAAAATACAATTTTCAGAAGTTTTAGGCAACCAGTATTACTTATGGAAATATTTCACTTTCAGTTTTCTTCATTTTGAAAAGTGAAATATAAATTTAAAACAGGATAGGATACATCAGAATTGTAAGTGACAATTTGCAATTGATCTTACTCACCAAGTCTCCTTTGTTGTCACCCTTTCATTAAGTGCCTTGCATGTATTCATTATGATATTCAAATCAGTTCTGTACTGTTTTATTTCTGTACTGTTTAGCCAGTGTATCAGTTTCAGTATGAAAGTGAATATGTGTGTTTTTCTTTTTTCTGTTAATGGCCATAGTACTGTTTTCTGCTTCTACACCAACTGTACAGTAACACCAGTAAATAAGGCATAACATTAACCTCTTCTGTTCAAACAAAAAGCTTGAAGTATTGTAAATCTCTGAATTTAAGACACTTTCTAAAGCGTATTTTCTTCTTCATTTACTACCTTGCATCTTATTTTAATGTGGTGTAAATACCATGCAACTAATTATTTGTTAGAATTGAAAAATCTTAGGCTTTTTATTCTTTTAACTTCATACTTTTTAACTTTTATATTTATTACTTTTAATATTTTATATTAAAAATAATATAAATTATATTGTATTAATATAGAACATATTTATGTAGTTTACTGTAAATTGTATGCTGTGTATGTTTTTAAATAACATTTAAATAGCTCAGAATAGGAGTTCTTGAGTAAATTATTGCAATGTTTGTTTTGGTATTGAAGAATTGGTGTGAATCCTGTAAACCAAAAGCCTTTAGAAAAATATTTGTAACCTTTATTATATTTGTAAGTGTAGATCTGCCAATAAGCAGATTTAAATACAGATACAAAAGTTACAAAGATTTCAGTTGTATTACGTTTGTTTAGTTTTTGTTCACTCTGTACTTTTGTTTAATTTCTTCAGGGTACAGACGACATACCATCTAAATCATGGTGAGCCTTGTATTTTATACCTAAGCTTCAGAAATATTGTCATATTATTATCATTTTTCATGTTTTCGGTATGTTTTAAAAAAAATTATTTGTTTGTTTTTTTTAAGTGATGATGCTTATAGTTCGAAGACATACTGGTAGAATAACTGGCTTCTGAGAAAACTGGCCCTGGTGTGCGCGTGTGCCCTGAGCTGGACTGGTATCCCAGAGTCCAGAGTGTACCTGCCTTACGGCCCTAAATTAGAAGAAGTGGTGAGAAACTGGATGGATGGATGCTCAAAGTGGTGGGAGCACAGCAGAGCAAAGCAAGTGAGGAATTTTATCCCAGTCATGCCATTCCACCCAGCTGTATGATTAGGGAGCAGCATTGCTGGCAGTACTCCCTGTAGTGGACTGGTGTCCTGTCTGGGGAACACTCTTGTGGTCTCTTGTCTGTGCAGCATCATGGAAACCAGGACAATCTCTGGCCTGATGCACTACTGTGGCTTGGGTATAGAAATTACCTACAGTACCTAACCTGACACTACAGAAGAATATATGAGGGTTCAGATAACAAATAAAATTATGTCTTCCTTGCTGACAGGAACAGGATAATCTCTTACTGTGTAGTTCGTACCTGTAGTGTTTGCTATGGTACCATCAGCACAAGGAATGCAATCGAAGCAGCAGATGGGCTGGCCTTTCCTGGCTGCTCTTCTTGTGCCTGGGGGGCAGCTCTCAGAACACACTCCTTTTGGGACCTGAAGAGACAAAAAATGTGGGATACTTTTAATGTATATCACTCACTCCTACATTTTAAAGTAATTTATTCGAATTAAGGGGAACATTTTAAATATGCAGCAATATACTGTACTGTATGTCATTTTTTTTTAACTATTTAAGCAATAAATGAAATAAACACCAGGTAAAGCTGGTCCACAGCTCAGAAAACAAGGAAGTGGCCCTATGTGGCTTTCAAGGTCACAAGAATCCTGAGACAGTAAATAAGGGAAGTCCAAGGGTCAGCAGATGAGCAAAAGTCCAAAACCAGAAGACATATTTAGTACCAAGAACAGGAAACACAATCCAAAAGCCAAGGTCAAGAAACAGGCCAAAATCAAAAAGTCTGGCAAGGAGTCCAGGAAGAATTCAGCAAAGGCTAGATCAAGGGCTCAAAGAGTTGAAAACAATACTGAGCAAAGTTTGAATGAAGAGCAGGGCTTAAATAGGTTTGGAGAGGGGCGGCGTGGTGTAGTAGGGACACTGAGCAAGCAGGGCTTGGCTATTGCCATCTGCTTGATCTACCTCTGCTGCTCAGATGAAGAAGGCACTAGAGGCTGGGACACACTACATCTGCCTTAAAGCTATCATGAGCATTTGAAAATAGTATTAAGATCTGAAATAGTGCTTACTTCTCTCCCAGTGCTCCAGACAATACTGTCCTCATCAACCACTAGCTGACTGCCTCCATCTGGTGATGTATCAAAGTGACCCACTGTCACATGGCTGACCACTCCTTTGTTGAGTTGCCAGTTTATAATGTCATAGGCAGCAGGAGGATCTCCGTTCTCATCAAAGTACACAGCTTCTCCAAACTGGTTTACAAAACTGACTCTTTTTAATTGTTTAGTGACCTTGAGAGTATGGAATAAATAGTTTATAAAATGTTTAGTATTTTTTATAACTCTACATTGACAGAATCTTAAATGTATTGACTAAACTAAAAAGCTAGTGTGGCCGAAGCAAAAAAGACTCGACCTGCAATTTCATTTTACTCACCTGCCAGGGCTCTATTCTTGCAATATCTCCACACAGTTTAATGGTTTTATTTTCTTCCTTTTCACAGAACAGTAAGTCATGAAGTGCATGTGCTACAGCATACACCGCATTGTGTACATTATATGTCATTCTTAGTTGAGAGACATCAAAAAAGGCATTTTCTATTTTATCTAGTCTCTCTTGTCCTGTGCATATCTTGGTGTCTGAAACATTTTGTTGGAAGGATTCCACTTTCAAACGTAGTGTGCACCCAAAGATGTGTTCCCAGAATACATTATTTAAGTTGTTTACAGAATCGAGAGATGGACGTATATTGAGCAGAAAATCTTTGAACTTTGGAATTGCCATTTTGCGAGTTGTAAGTCCTATTGTGCCACCAAAAGATCTGAAGAATTCCTCAGTGGAGGGTCTCGCTGCTGTTACCCAGTCCTCACTTGCTAACCACTGTATGCCAGTTATGTTTTGCCTGACAATCTCCTGCATTAAAGGGTACAGGTCACGTTCTGAAGCAAATGCTAATATGACTTTCACTGCGGTTCTTTTCATAGTTTCTATTATCTGAAGTAATGCAGTTCTCGAGTAGGAGCTTAAAATATTTTCAGTGAAGGCGATGCAAACTCCGTATTTTACAACTTCCTTGGTGAAAGACTGAACCCCAAATATGCCATATTCATTGTCTGCTTGGATAGCTCCGATCCACGTCCATCCGAAATGTTTAACGAGCTGAGCAAAAGCTTTCGCCTGAAAGAAATCACTCGGAATAGTGCGGGAGAACGTGGGGAACTCTCTTTTGTTGCTGAGACAAACACACGTGGAAGCATAGCTGACCTTGTGGAATATGAAAACAAACATAAAAACAGATATTAAATATTAATTCATGAGTAGCCCAAAACATAGCCCCGTAAGTAAATGTATACAATTTGCTCCATCCAAACGTTCGATTAGATTTATTCAGATTACTTGCACTAGTTACAAAATTGGAAGATGCCATTGAGATAGAAACTCACGTGTTAATATTCAGTCCAAACCTAAAAAGGTGGTTAAAGACTTTTTCCAATAATATTGTAAACTGTAGGTTTTAAGATACAAAATGCAAAATACATTTCTGGCAAACAAATAAACAAACAAACAAACAAACAAACAAACAAACATATTAAGGTTTACCAGAGGAATACCGAAGCCTCCAATTGCTCTGGCGATATTTAAAGAATTAGATGTGATAACAGCAGTGATTGGGGACGGACACAATGAGTCATATTCATCCTCTTCGGGTCTGTTTGCTAAGAGTAAACCAGCTCTTGCAGTTTCAGCTGGAGAAGCGCAATTGTCGAGGATTCTGTATCCCAAA